GCAACTGTTGCTCATTATTATCTGTAACAAAAGGTATAAATGCTTGCTGTAATTGTTTACCTGTTGAGAGACCTGCTTAGCTCTCTCCCTCTGCGCAATTGTGAGAGTTAATAAAGCATCTGACTTGCTATACCTAAACAAATAGTGAGAACTCTGTTTTTCTCCGACACCACTTTAAAACAAATAATGGAGAAAAGAGAAGAACCTGGCCTGGAAGTATTTAAATAGTCAATAATAAACAAAGAATTAAAATAGGGATGTGGCAGCATAGAGCAAAGGTGAAGCTTGAAAACACACACAATTTACACCTCAGAGTACTTCAATATGCCAAGGCAGATTTGGCATTTTTAAAATGGGCAATTTCTTGGATGGGAAATATTTGGTTCCAGGTGAAAAGGTAATTAGCATTAAAGGCCAAGCCTCTCAAAAGTTATTATTGGATGTCTGTTTTTTGATGCCATTCCACCAAAAGAGCATGGTTTTCAGCAAATACTGAGCACCACCTTTGTAAAAAAATCAGGCTCCGTTAAGGTATTTCAAGTTAGGTTCTCAAAAACGAAGGCACTCAAAATCCCTAGTCACTTTTGGAAAACTTGGCATAAGTGCTAACACTCGCAATGAACCAGAAAAGCTTTCATTCAAATCCAAACAGTTCCCATAGGAACAACTGAACTTGACCAAGCCAGAAGAACCTCTGATAAATGTAAGAACTGAACTTCAGCAACACTAACTGCAAGACGGGTCACATCAGGAAAGACAGTTTAGTCAACTTGTCAAGATGGTATGCAAATTACCATGTAATATGTACTACAATGCAAAACTACTGAAGACCAAGTGTCCACATAACACATTAATAAGCTTTGAAAAACATCTTTGCAACTTAGTACTTCGTTTATAAACAGAACTGAAGTACAATCATTTACCAAAGTCATTCAAAGATAAGATCTGGGATGTGACTCATCCAGATAAACCTACCAGAAGACAAAAAGGAACAAACTAAGAATACCTAGGCTACATGATTCATGTGGAAAAATAAAGTGGCAGTGCTCTTCCTTAACACAACAATATCAAATATATCCCTGTAGGAACATGCCGAGCAAAAGCTGCAGAACATGAAGGTACTTGGAAGAGAGACACTAGTCACTTGGAAAATAGTCTGTAAAAGAGATTTGTTACATATCATGGATGACAAACGTACACAATTGCTAACTTTATTACTCCAAAGATGTTGAAGACAAATGATTTCACCTACTGCTCCTTATCCCCTACAGCCATACTTCTTATGATTTCATAAGGTAGGCAAGGTCAGCACTTGGATGGGATCCAAGAGGGAAAACCAGGTTACTGTGAGAAAAAGTTTTCAACCGATTCCCAGAAGAAGATATTCAGCCCCTGAATACTTCTTACTGAAGATCCCACACAATATCACACAGGAAGGAAGTGTTATTATTGGTCAACTACTCAAATTCCACTTGGGTATTTTCAATTCCATCTCTTACCACACTGCTCCAATCATGTGGTACCTCCATCTCCTTGCACAGAGATGAGTAATTACAGCTCTACAGTTGCTGGATAGGGGACGCCTCACTGCTGCTGCTGCTTTGTCTGCGTTGTCTCTCTCCACCACACGGTCTTCAGCCTGTTGCAGACTCCAGGTTCTGAGGCTCCACTGTTCAGCCCAACTATTAGCAATTTTACCCAGTGAAAATAACTGATGGCTAAGAGGGGAACTATGCCACAGCCACTTCCTCTGCGTCATTTCTCATTGCAACCCTGCTCTTCTCTGATCAGCCCATGAGGTTACTCTCTGTCACCCACTTGTTAAATTTTCAAAACAAATATCCTTGTGCTTTCTCTTATGCTGCCCCTCCTGCTTGGGAGGGGCTCCCTAAAAGTATCTGCAAAGCTACCTCATTATCAATCTTTATAACTCTTCTCAAAACTCTCCTTTGCTGTGATGCCTATAAAAAAACCTGACAACAGTTAGGCCCTTGGTGCGCTGAGACCACGACCTTTCACGCCGACCAATACTGTTTCCTTATACTCCCCTGTCTGTTTGTATCATTGTTTCCTTGTATTCCCCCACTTCTGTCTGTATCCATCTGTTGTCTCTTGTCTTATGTTTAGATTGTAAGCTCTTTGAGGTAAGGACCATCTTTTTTTGCTCTGTTGTACACCACCTAGCACAGTGTGACCCTGGCCCACGACTAGAGCTCCTATTATGGTAAAACAAGTAATACCATAATTAAACACAGGATTCTTTACTTCATGTCCTAACTGGAATAGCAGAACACAGTAATGCTACACAACATTTGTCACAATTCACCCCAAAGATGGCTGTACTCCAATGGAGAGTAAAGCAATTCCTACATATATAGTTAATAAACTTCATCAAGCTTTTTGAGATCCTTAGAGATCAATATGCATAAGTCTCATTACTTCACTTATCTTCTGCCTTCACAGATCTCTTTACTACTCTGATAAATCCTTAAAAGCATAAGGAATGTAGTGGTGAAAAAAAAGTAATGAAGGTATGAGGTGACGCAAATACCAGTCTCAGTCCACTTAGTACTGGTCTGCAAATGCTTTCAGGATTGCCTTAGGGGATCCAAAAAGCCTCTCGACCAACTGTTTACGTGGAAGTGGTATACAGGAGCTGCATCACCCTATATTTATTTCAGAAGTCTTATGGAGGCAATAGTGTGCAACTTCTACAGCACAGAGCTGGACTGGCATCTTGCTGGGAACCCTGGGGCAACTAATACATATTTACATAAATTTACATGCATTGTACCAGTTTGATATCCTCCGATGGATTTATTCATCTAAGTTTCATTTACTGGTTCATTTTACAAACTATAAACCTGTTTCTTCCCTTTCAGTTTTATTCTCTTCTCTCTTTCCTTCTGTCATTTTCTCTTTTGTGCCTTTTTCCCCCTCCTCTTCTCTCCCTGCTTCCTCAGCTTCCAGTTACTCCCTGCCTCTTTTCTTCCATTCTTTCCACTGTATCTTCCTTCCATCCTTCTCCATTTACATCACCAATGCCTTGGCCACCATCACTACCTCACCATTAACATGAGCTATTCCATTTGCAACCTGGAGAGAAGCTCTGCTCCACTTCCCCAGGCTATTGGATCTAGGTGGTCTCACTATTATTAATGCTGTAATATGGAGCTCAATTCTGTTACCAGCCTGTTGATGACTCTTAAGGATATTAGGTTGCTGACAGTAGTATAGCAGGTGCACAAACACTGGAAAGGAACAGCTAGTGACCCAGAAAGGGGAAAAGCTGTGGAATCTCACTAGGGAAAAGTTCTGCTATGAAGTGCTACTCAGGGTTACCTCTTAATGGCAGACTTTTGGGCTGCCAAAAACAAACCATTTTCCACACCTTGACATGTTGAGCCACACAAGGCCCATGAGTTTTGCAGTAGGGTTCAGAGGTGGTAGTGTCTGTGCTACAATCAGACAAGATTTCCTCAAGGAAATCCCGTCTTAAAATCTTTCGCTACTCATCAGCCATCTTTTTTTCTGTGGAGGATATCATCACAAACTCATGGCTCTTAGTTGTCTATGACCAGTGTACATTTCTTCCCAGTACAGCTTATGGTGCGGCCTGCACAAAGAAACACAACTGGGTTAGAAATTTCACAGTTAGTTCTCCCATTCATAGTTGTTAAAGAACAGCCTGAGTCACTGTGACAGATTGAATGCACAATCTACTTAATTTATTGTGTAATAAAATAACTTCAGAGCTCTTTCCTAACGTAAATTTTGGAACCTACTAATACCATGATAAATGGCACTTACGCATCTCAACCTTTCATTGATTGAAGCCTCTACACAGAGAGCATCTTCTAACTGAGAGTGCCTTAGTTTCTTGAAATGGGTAAATAATCCCAGTCTTGTTCTATTATACAGTCCCTATGGAGCACAGTAAAGATTAAATATTTAGTCAAGGAAAAAATACATACATATTTCCTCATGAGAGCAAAACATTAGCAACCTTAGCACTACAAATTAAATGCTTGTCCCTACCCAACCAGATAATACAGCATAATCTCACTAAAAATCACACCTTATTAAACTACATGGAAAATCAATATGGGGAGGAACTATTTAATGAAGTGCAGGAGCAGGGTTGATAAGGGTGACCCCAGCTGACCCATGGGAACATGTGTTAGAAGCAACATATCACACTTCCCTTCCCCTTTCCTGGTACCCTGTTCTGCTTTGTACACGCTCCCTGAAGGTCTGGTACTGGCCAGACAGAATACTCTGCTAGATAGACTCTTGGCCTTACCCAGCATGGCAGTTCTTATGATTGTGTTTATTCAACCAGTTATACAGCTGGTTGAATAAATTTATCTGAATATTTAATAAGATATTTGCAGCTAACATTTAACCAGATAAGATTTCAAGTTATTACAAGTTTGTGATATGCCCCTCTCACTACTCCTTTTCTTAACTTCATTCTTTGGATAGTTAGAATGACTATCCACTATTTTATACTATACAGACCAGTGCAGTAAAGTCTGATCTAGGGCTCAGATCCTTCACACCAATCAAATGGGTGAACCCCTACTTCAAATGGCATTTTGCAAGGCATAAGGGTTCAGTTGCACTAACTCCATTGCAAGATCAGGGCCTAGGTTATGACCAGAGTAATGTCCTCTGTTATATGACTACCAATAGGCAGAAACATGAAAACCAAGGCTTTGTTCCTTGGGGGTGGAGAGGAAGGAGAAAATATGAAAGGGGGGGGGGAAGAAACATTATAGGGGACATGACCGACTGGCAAGGAGAACTCTGTGGTTGTCAAGGGAGATTTTGACAGAAAAACGAAGGGGTGTTGACTATTATAGGTTTTTTTATGGTGCTCATAAACATTAATTTAATTATCCTTACAATAGTTCTGTGGAGTAGTGAACCAAAAAACACAAATTAAATTATCTGATCAAGGTCATACAGAAAGTCTGTAGCAGACCCAAATATAGAAACCAGATCTCCTGAATCCCAGGACAGGGCCTTAACCACAAGAATACCCCGCTCTCCATGGGAAGGAGCTAACTGGAAAGGATGCAAGAAAAGGGAATGCTAAAAAATAAATTACTAAAGGTAGACTGAAAGTGAAAAGGGGATTTAAGGGAATGGATTTAATTTAAAGACAACACTGAAAGTTCATTGAGAGGCTGATGTGAATGAGATCATTTTCTCCATAACATAATCCACAGGAAGATTTTTGATAGGCTCACTTTTTGTTAATTAGTAACAGGCCTATCAAAAAGACATTTAGGTACCACAAGTGGCCAGTCAGCATGGCCTCAAAATGTCAGCCTCTCTTCCAATCCCCTGCCAATTAATCAAAAGTTAGGTTAAACAAATTTGCCTTGTATCATGCCCCAAAGGTCATGAAATTCTGGCTTTGGTGGACTGTAAACAGGCGTTCCAGAGATAGTATCCCCTTCCATACACTTCCCTCTCCAAAGTTCACCTCTAGAAACTGACAGGGCTTATCCACAAACAGAAATTATGCCAGTTAAACCAGTTAAGCTAAAGGTGCATTGTTGCAGTGATTTAGTTAAATCACTGCAACTTTATTTGTAGATCAGGCCTTACAAAATAATACTAGTGCTCAGACATGCAAAACAGAGCTCCTTAGACAAGCCTACTCACCTGATTTCTTAATCTGAATAACTAATGATTGCTTTGAGACCTTTTCTAGACTGAAATGTATTTATGTAAGATGTGTAAAGGTTAAAGTGGTCTGAAAATATTTTTCAATTTCTGAAATTTTGATATACCCAGTTTAGTTTCTGATTAACAAATAGCAGTACTTGCACGTATAGAGTCATGCAGAGTACATTTCTAATTTCCTCTTACAGGTGAAACACTGAAAGAGATGTTTTGGTAGTAAGTGCCTTCAATGATTTCCATGAAGAGAAGGCTGACTTTTAAACCTAGAACCACAGATAATGATAGCAATAAAAAATTCAGCAATTCTTAAACATTCAGATGATCTAGCAGAATAAAAATCCAACCTCTTAAATAAAATATAGGAGATAATTATTGAGCCTAGCAAGATAGAGTACGGTGGTAGAGTTGATTTAGCTGTCTTACGTGATTTAATTTGCCGCCTCAGCACAAGTAAGTATCTCTACACCAGTCTCTCCAGTCCAAGTAGGGAATTACGTTGCATCAATGCTTGTACCAACACTTATACTTCAGGACTTGCCAGGTATTCTATTTTACTCTGTTCCATTGTCACATGTATAATACAAATTAAAGGATATACAAAGATTAAATACATATCCTACATAAACATTTGATCCTATCAGTCTAAATCCATACTTCTTGTAATATATCGAACAAAAATATTTTCTAGACAATTGATTTTATATGGATTGTATCAATGAGAAAAAGGAAATGTGTTTGAATGATAAACCTTGCATGATTAAACACCTTTAGAAACAAAGTTGATGTTTATTCATTCATCTTACAAGGAAGACAATAAAAACCCTTCAGACATCAGAAAATATGCATATTTCCATAGATTTTTAGGGAAGTCTACATTTCTTTCTTTTAAAATTTAAGAAGAGATCCTAAAGTTTCTAGCTTTTCAAAATATTCATAATGTAACCTGATTAATGCCCTTTTACCTCCAACCCTGCACAAACCTGATCTGATGAAACTAGTGATTTTTAAATCGAAGAGTATAATTTTTTTAAGTGGTCTGTTTTAATTTGGATGTAGGAATGCTACTCTTGCTTAACAGACTCAAACCACTATCATCCAGCAAATGCACTTGCTCAGCATGGCTGGGAACATCTACCATATACATGAATGGAGAAGCCCTAGGAATAGGTCTTGAACCTTTGATTATGCAAAGATAAATTCTGTTTTCTGGAGAAGAGACCACAGCAAAGGGTAAACACAGTTGCAATGTGTTCAGCTGAATGTAGTCAAGTTTGCACCACCTTACAGTTTTCCATACTAGTTTGTTTGAAACCAGTGGGCTGTTTAGTTACATAGTAATGATCCCAAGCTCAGATAATGTACATATAATCCCTATTTTACTGATGACGTATCTGAGGCAGAGGAGAAATTGAATGACTTGCCAAAGGACATGTAGCAGATCAGTGGCAGCGCCAAGGATAGAGTCCAGGTCTCCCAACTGTCAATTCAATACCCTATTCACTGCATCATTCTGTGTCCCATACTAAGTTAATAGAGAATACACAAGAAGGAATTTATTGATTAATCCTCACAGCAACCCAGTTGGTATCAACCTGGTTTAACAAATGAGGAAACAGATGAGGAAACAAAGGGTCAAATTCTGTAATGTTTTACCTCATTACTATTTCATTCATTCATTCATTCATTCGACTTCAGTGGAGATACACCTGGCATAAGTCAGCACAAACTTTGACCTATAGAGGATCAAGTGACTTGCCTGAGGCCATAGAGCAAGTCAGTAGTATAGTGGAGGTTAGAACTCTGGAGTTCCTAGCTCCCACTCCTGTGCTCAATTCATCTCTTATCTGTGGAATCTTAGTGCCTTTCAGTGACAACCAACACTAGATATAAGTAGGGTCCAGAAAACTAGCACAAGAAAAATCCCCCAAATTCCAGAGCTAGGTGGGGCATGGAGAGTAGATATGGAAATCCTTTTTCAGATGATGCTGAAAGTATTCTTACCTATCCATTTTGTCAACAGTATATTTTATTATTTCCTGTTTGATAAATTTGTTTACAGATTACTCAGACTACAACAGAAAAGATAATGCATCTCACACATTTATGGTTTCAAATTTTAAAATTACAGTGGTGGGAGGGATAGCTCAGTGGTTTGAGCATTGGCCTGCTAAACCCAGGGTTGTGAGTTCAATCCTTGAGTGGGCCACTTAGGGATCTGGGGCAAGATCAGTACTTGGTCCTGCTAGTGAAGGACTAACTTTCAAGGTCCCTTCCAGTTCTAGGAGATAGGATATCTCCATTAATTTAATACTTTAGATCTTATTCTAATTTTCTATAAAGTATTTAAGATTAGAGTCTGATACATGAGCAAAACAGAAGTAAAGTCCATGTATGAAATTCTTATATAGGAAAACTATATGTACTATGCACTATGTAATGTTGGACTCATGTAACGCTGTTTGTGGAATCACAAGCACTGTCACAGTGAATACAGCTTCCCCATGGAAAGTGGAGAAAATGACACACACAAATTTACTAAGCTGAGTATTTATATCAAATTAGCACCAAAAGGCATCATTCCGGATTGGGTCCCTCTTGGGCTGGCCACTGTGCAAACAGATGTTGAGAGATCCTGCCACAGAATTCACAATCTCTACATTTGGCCCAAACAATCAAAGCCCCATTCTATATTAACATGTAGATGAAGACCACCTGTTTAAACTCCCATATTTCCCCTCCCACCTATGTTATGGGTTTATTTTTTAAAATTGTATTTAAACATTTTCTGAAATATGATCAATTTGCTCTCTTACCTGTTCTCCTTCAGTAGTGAATGGCCTGGGATCTTCCTCATACTGATGTATTTAAAATCTCATACAGTATGGACATGATCTGTCCAGCACTGAAATGCTGAGTGTAAGAGTTACCATTAGCATGTCATAATGGATAATCTGCATAATGACATCAGTTCTGCTTCATAATGGAATGCCGTAAGTAATCTCAAATGTGAGCTGAATTTTTTTTAAAAGTATGAACCACATCATATATCACACCACACTATTTAGCATTTATATAGTGCTTTAGAGAGGTGCTGCCAAGTGAAAGTGCACTTGGACTCACTGGAGGGCAGAAGGAGAGTCAAGAAAGGGACAAAGACTACCCGAAAAAGTCTTTTGACAAGGTTGGAGTGCTATGCCTCCTTCCACTCCCTGCCATATATAACTTGAGAAAGTGGGTGAGTCTTGAAATTTTACCCAGTTTATCCTTGAAGACATCAAGAAGATATTTGTTTTTCTTATCAGAATTAATAATCCTGATTTTAGACAGACACAGCCCTTAGTTTTTATATTTATTTTACTCATTTCTATAGTACACCTCTACCTCAATATAACGCTGTCCTCGGGAGCCAAAAAATCTTACCGCATTATATTGAACTTGCTTTAATCCACCGGAGTGCGCAGTCCCGCCCCCTGGAACACTGCTTTACCGGGTTATATCTGAATTCGTGTTATATCGGGTCGCGTTATATCGGGGTAGAGGTGTACCTGCTGCAGTGGTTACAGAGATTAACACACAAATCAGATGGGCTATCTAGAAAGAATACAAAAACAAACACTAAACCATACAAACAAGCCTCACATAAGATCACTAGACTCTAAAGGCACAGGGTTCTCAAATGAGACAGTCCAGCAGCTAATCACATAATGTTCATACTTTTAAAAATTAGCTAGAAGATCTTTGCTGACATAGAAATTGGGCACTGTCTCACATAACTGGATTCCAGATCATTTAGGACTAAAGATCAATGACAGAATCTTGAATATAACCTGGAAACTAATAAGAAATCAATGCAGATATTAAGCACAGATTTTGAATTCACACCGGCCAGCACCATTCAGGAGGTGGACAAATGCATTCTCCAAACTACAAACTGAAGGTAAGGAGTAGAAACTTAAAGGCAAATTTTATCCTTAGTTGTAACATCCAAATTTTTATTTTAAAAGACTGGTTAAGATCTCTAATCAATCTTGGTGATTGTAAGAACATTAAGAACTATTTTAAATTCCATGAGAGGAGCTAGAGGGGGACCAGAATTATTTCTTCTAATGTCTCAGATTTAGTAGTATTCTCAGCCTGAGAACAAAGTGATGAACTCTAGTTCAAGCTTGGTTTCCTATTTAAGGTTAATAATTGTTTTGAAGAAAAAATATATGTAGCCAGGATTCTTTAACTCTACTAAGAGCAGCATTGTTGATTGAATGAAGTAAGACCCCACACTCAACTTCATGGCACCTCTATTTGTCTTTAAGGAATAACTTTGGAACACCACATCCAAGCAATTCCAGAATTTCAGGGAATATTCCAGGCATCATGGAAGAGTTTGATTGAGAGGAAGGTCAGGACCCCCAACTGCCTGGTGATGTCAATAGAGAAATTTCTCTGACACCCCCTATTACTGCTTAAACATAGCAAATTGAGCTGCTGTCTCTGATGTGTGGGGAGATTGTTTTCTAGCCTGGAGTCTAACAGAAGCAAGAGAGTCTTAGAAGGAGGGAAGAGGATGGGGGAGACTGGAGAAGAGCACAAGCATCAGGGACCACAGAGATGTGGCAGTTGTGGTGAGGGAAGCCGTTATAGCTAAGTTAAAGAACAAACTTCCTGTTCCATCTGAAATGGAAACTATTGTTAGGCTAGTCTGCACTGGGCGCTTTGGATTGCTAATGTACAGAAGCCTGGGTCTACTGAGTTTGTTCATAGACTACTCCATTGGAGATGAGAGATAGATTGTCTAGGTTGGTCTTTTTACAACTGCCAGTAAAATACCAAGATACCTTGCTATCATGAGATCTAATCCTTGCTAAAGCATCTAGAATGAAAAATGCCCATCACACCCTTCTGCTGAAGAAGATAGACCTTTCTAAGGGAAGTCTGGGAAACAACTGAATTAAAGTCTAATTTATATTTGGGAGTGAGATGAAGCAGGAATGAACAACAGGACAAACTCCAAAAGAAAAGATTATGCACTAATACACAAAGGTTAAGGCTACACATAACAGAATATATACAATAAAAACTCTGACTGATGGGGTTTTAAACAGGCTACTTCACCTTGAATGGAACCTTGAAATATGTGTTATCTACGCATGTTAAACAATCTGTTTCACCTTGTATTTAGCTGTGACACTGATTAAGTTTCCCAGACCTGAAGAAGAGCTTGTGTAAGCTCAAAACTTGTCTCTCTCACCAATAGAAGTTGGTCCAATAAAAGATGAGGTGGGTGAAGTAATATGTCATTAACAATTTAAACATTTGGGAAATGTATGTTGCTTGGACAACACTTCTACCCAATTTCAAGTAAAATTTGGTTTACTGTAATCCTAATATTGCTGTGGCTTCCACTTATTTAGATCAATTCCATTCCTATCACTTGACAAGTAGCTGACCTTGTCATCCATATGACCACTAGAGGCCGTATCACAGCTTGCCTTGGCATAGGCAGTGCTTTCATCAGCAATAGACTATAGCAGCTGTCTTCAAACTTTTTTGATCGCGCACCTCTATCAGTAAAAAAATTGAGCACGCACCCCCTGCTGCGCTGCAGGGCCGGCTCTACCATTTTTGCTGCCCCAAGCAAGCAAGCGAAAAAAAAAGGCGCCCGAACTGCCGAAGCTCCCACTTTGGAGACCACTGGACTATAGTGCTGGAATAAAGTCACTTACAGGGTACGTTTACACTGCAATTAAAAACCCATGGCTGGCCTGTACCAGCTGGCTCAGGCTCATGGGTCTCAGGCTAAGGGGCTGTTTAATTGCAGTGTAGATGTGCAAGCTCAGGCTATAGCATGAGCTCTGGGACCCTCCCATCCCACAGGATACTGGAGCCCGAACATCTACAAAGCAATCAAATGGCACCTTGGCCTGAGCCCCAGGAGCATGAGTCAGCTGGCATGGGCCAGCAGCAGGTTTTTAATTGCAGAGTAGACATACCCTTAGATGTAGTCACCTGTTGTTAACATCCATCGTTCTGAAGTTCTCTCTCATTCATAATTCTGGCCTCTTATTAAATAACTTTAAAAAACAAAAAAACAGTCATAGAACTGCCCTGTAGTACCTGCCTTAAAAAAGTTCAAAAGCAACTGAAATAACAGGGAGACAATTGTATTTTCAGTACAAATTATTTTGTTCTGATTTAATTCCAAGTGGAAGAACTTAAATATTTAACTACTTACACATTGAAAATTATATTCCTATAGCAAAAAACATTACAGATTTGAGAGACTTAAAAGATTTATTTTACTAGATAAATGTGCTTTAAATTAAAAATTATGAATATTTTTCCAAACTATAATAGTATGGAATAGTATGCCTGTTTTATAGAAGCATGTACTAAGGGCACATAGCATGAGGAAAAATGTACAGTAACACCTCACTTAACATTGTAGTTATGTTCCTGAAAAATGCGACTTTAAGCGAAACAATGATAAGTGAATCCAATTTCCCCATAAGAATTAATGTAAATGCGGGGGGGGGGGAGGGGTGTGTGTGTTAGATTCCAGGGAAATTTTTTTCGCCAGACAAAAGACATTATATACATAGACAGTATAAGTTTTAAATAATTTTAAACAAACTATGTAATACTGTACTCACCAATGATGATTGTGAAGCTTGGTTGAAGCAGGGCGTAGTGGGGTCGGGGCACGGGGACTTGCCCCACTCCGCCCATCCACTCCCCAGCTGGAATGCTGGGTGGGCAGAGTGGGATAAGCCCCTGGGCCCGAACCCTGCTCCCCAGCTGAAACGCCAGATGGGCGGAATGGGGCAAGCTCCCATTCCCTGACCCCACTCCCTGGCTGGAATGCCGGGCGGGCGGAGCAGGACAAGCCCCCACACCACAACCCTGCTCTCTGGCAAGAGTGCTGGGTGGGTGGGTGGAGCAGGGCAAGCCAAACAACCTTATAATGGAATGTTGTGCGACTTTAAAAGAGTATAAAAGATCAGCAACCTAATAACAAAACAACTTTAAGTGAGGAGTTACTGTATGCTAAAAATCCTTGTCAGCTGCTATAAATTTATGCCAATATACATATTGTTCTATATGCTCAAACTGAAACAGAGTCATTTTAAACCATAAAAGTTATTTTACACTTTACACCCTGCCCCACCCCCCATTACAGGATGTACACGCCACACCACTCTCTTCACCTACCATCCAATACAGCTGTTTGTTTCAACACAAAGTTTACTCTTTTAACGTCATGTTCTTATTATAGTTTTCTCCCATCTTTTCTCCTTTAGTACTATAACATGCCATTCTGTCTTCATTTTCTCCCCATATCAAAAAAGATACTTTCATGTTACCACTAGGCTCAGTTCTGCAAGGTACACTGTTGAATGCCTCCAGCAAGAGGCGGATCACCCACAACTACAGTATGAGCCGGGGGTACATTCACCTCAGGGAACTGTACTCATATAATTGTTACATACACTTATGCCCAGGTATACTTGTTTCCAATATTATAGCATCATCCTTTTTATGTTTCATTAGTAAGGTTTAATAAAATTGTATTAAAAGCATCTCTGATAGTCACACAGTGCTCGCATTATGCTCATAATAAAGCAGTTCTTATGGTTAAACATTTGTGTTGTACATTTCTGTTCTCTCAGAAAAATTATTTTCCCCTGCACTCATTTTGTGCATACTGAAAAAGATGAAAGTGTAAAAATAATTATGGAATAAAAGTGTCTGTACTCCCAGAGTAACCACTTTCCAAAAGTCAATATCTTATCTGCTTAGTTTTTGAAGTATCCAAAGTAATCACAGCACCTTATGCTTGCCAGTTTAATTGTTCTAGACTGAAGTCATTTGGAAATTATATAAGTGTTAATCAATATAATTAACTGGTAAATATACCTAAATTCCACTTCTCGCCTCCTGACTTGTATTACTTAAAGATGGCCATGAGTAATTGCTTTTCAGTTTTGTGGAAACAAACTTGCTCCTTATATTCACATCCTTGGAGGATATTTTTATTAAATTATAGTTCCTATTGTTTTATGCATGTGACAAAGTTTGGGCACCAAACCAAAAAATTCCAAGGTTCCCTTCCCCACAAAAAAAATCCAGTTTGATTTGAACTGAAATAAGGTTTTTGGTATTGAATTGAAAAACAAAAACCAAACAAAACTGTTTCAAAAATTGACCAAAATGTTTTGAGTCAACCTGAAAATTATTATTTTTTTTATTTTGAATTTTCCGTTTGATTCAGCTGTTCCAGGTGCATTTTACCTTTAAAAAAAATAAAAAAAAATTGGCCAAATTTGAAATAAAAAACACCATTTCAAATCAAAAAGCCTAAATGAAATGTTTCAACTGCTTAAAAGAAAAAAAAAGTTTCAGCTGAAATTATTTGCCCAATTTGATGTCCCTTTTGACAAAAAAAAAAAACTAATGTTAAAAACATTTCACCCAGCTCGACCCAGAAGTTTAGTTCCCTACCAATACTACGTACTAACATGATGCTTTGCTGAATACATGAAGTCACCATTAAGCAGAGCTGCTAGAGCATGGGGAATAACAGATCAGGGTTAGGGAAAGCTTTCTTTTCTTGCCCACAGTGCAGCTTCAAACAGCTAAAGATTTGGTCCATTACACCGTGAGAATAAAGACAGAAGGAATCATTAGGAAAGAAGGTGCACAACTCCTAGTTTATATGTGCTCATTGCCTGATCATCTGATGCTCCCATCCCACTGAGGAATTTTGGGGATAGGACAGCAAATGGGACACCAGGCTCCTTCTCACCAACATTAAAAGACATTTCATAAAGTTACTGGGAAGGAGAAGCTACAGTCTAAATGAAAACCTCTCAAAGACTATTTGACTGTTCATTTTTTTATTAAAATATTTTCATCATTCAATATTTAGAAGGAATTTTAAGTTCATTTGATTTGTTTATTTATCATAAGGGCACCAGAAGTTAAAAATGTATTTGTAAAATGGTTGCTATTTATAGCTGTGTTTAATTCTGAGTTGCATTTTAAAGTTGAGAATGTCCATAATTTGATAAAAAGAACAGGAGTACTTGTGGCACCTTAGAGACTAACAAATTCATTAGAGCATAAGCTTTCATGGACTACAGCCCACCTCTTTGGATGCATCCGAAGAAGTGGGCTGTAGTCCAT